GTGTGAGAGAGAGAGAGAGAGAGAGAGAGAGAGAGAGAGCCGTGGGGTTGGAGGCTTACCTGTTGGCCGAACCGATCAATGGAAAACTCTCTCTCTCTCTCTCTCTCTCTCTCTCTCTCTCTCTCTCTCTCTCTCTCTCTCTCTCTCCGCACGAAAGGACACCGCCCCGCCCGTCGCCTCGCCGCTAGTTTCCAAACCCCCGCTAGAGCACTCGCCAGTTCAAAGTATGCCCCCCCCAGCCCGAGCCTGTTCGTAGGCCGCAAGGTCGGCAGGCCTCCCCCGCCTGCGCCTGTTCGTAGGCCCGGCGGTCGCAATTTTCATATTCTGTCTTTCTCGGCCTCCGCGTCGGCCTCGCCCCCCCGCCCCTTCGCCTCGGCCTCGCCCCCACACTGGTCCCACTGCCCAGTTCCCGCCTCGCCCTCATTCTGCCACAGGTTCCACGATTTTCGTTGGGCCCGCGACCAGGCATGTCGCCCGGCCCTTTGTTTGCTTTAGTAGTATATGTAGAGAAGAGATACAGAAAAAAAAGAGATGGTAACGCTGACGTGCTCATGGCTTGCACAAAAGACAATAAATATGGCGGTGTATCTGGGCACTTCTAGCAGAAGATTCATTTCATTTTGCACATTTGGTGCGTAGTGGACCGAGGCCCTAGATCTCACGGCCGTCGCCGCTTCCAGAGGCACCCTCAGTTCCGTTCCATTACTCTCCACATGCACAAAAGGACAATGAATCCTCCGCCAGAACATGCCCAGATACACCGCTATGAGGCTCACCACACAGGTTGTCGAAAACCAGGTTTTCGACAATTTTGCATCGCCACACAGACTTTCGAAGAACTGCGGCTCGAAAAACTTTCGACAGGTGTCAGAAATTCAGAATGGTCCTTTCGACAGCCGCCCTCCAGCAACCGTTTCCACCAGCCTGCAGGTGACGGAAAGTCGACAGCGCCCCGCCGACCTTTCGAAAATTGCGTTCGAATTTGTGTTGTCAGGGACTGTTCCGTCAACTTCCGTGAAACCCGTCCGCCTGGCCATGACCAAAAACTTTGCCCCTCGACAGCCTGTGTGGCGAAGGGGGGGGGAAATTGTCGACCGCCCGACTGTCAAAAATTTTCTGTCGAAAATTTTCTGACACCTGTCGAAAATTTTCGACATTCGCCAGCCTGTGTGGCCTCTATATTTTTCGCCTCTCGTGCATGTGGAGAGCCGTGGAGCCAGGCCCTTGTGACGTCGTTTCACTTTTTATGCGTCTGTTTTTGTCGTTTTCTGCCACCACTGCCACACCGTGGGTTTTTAAGGGCCCGGCTCCACTGCTCACGAAATGTGCACATTGACAATGAATATACTGTTAAAACATGGGAAGATGCAGCTGGCAGAAACAGCGAAAACTCGAAAATGCCAAACCACGCGCAGTGTTAAAAACGAACCCTGTGCCATGAAAAAATGGCGGTGCATCTTCCCATGTTTGAGGGGAAAATTCATAAAACAGCAAAGACAGAAAAACAGAAACGCTGTGCAGTGCTGTGGCAACAACATAATCACACGCCTGAGGGCAAAGCATCCCACAGCTATGTACTTGTATTCAAACATGCGGCGGCGGCGGCGGGTTTGCAAACGCTCCAGCCCATGTGGCCCACACATCGCCGTGGGTCCAAGAGGGAAACGCGGTTTCCCGAGAATGTAAGCCTGGCCTTGCGGGAGTGTCACGCGAGACCCGTCTTGCACTTTAATAAGAGCATAGATGTAGATTATTAAGGAAAAAACAGAAAGGTTGCGCACCTGCCACCCCGCCGCATCACGCATGCACAGCGCGGGCATGTGCATAGCACATAACCATGCGCGCGCACCTTCCATGTAAGCATCTCGCAGCGCACAAAAGCGCCGCCGCAAGTATGGTTCATTTTGATGATGCTACATACGTAGTTCATATTAGTCAGTCCTATGGTCTACCAAACAAAAAAGGGGATCTCGTAAATGGTACAAAAAAAAAAAGCGGATGTTACAGTGGGCACTTCAGCTTGTGGTAGTCACAAGCATGGTAGGTGCCCCGAGGTTCACACAACACTACTCAGAACTCTCCAACAAGCTGCAGCGAAGCTCATCTGTGTAGGTCATAACCGAACACATCTGACCAGATGAAAAATCGAGCACACAGAAGTCAAATTTCCAAAACGACAAATGGAAGATGCAGTGACTTGAAGAGCTGGAGTTTGACAAGACCGGAACTCCAGGAACTTTATCGCTTGTCACTCGAAGATTTAAGGAAGATTATAACCCAAAAAAAAAGCTTCTTACAGGTCGCAACAATATCGAGCTACTTTTACTTATTGGCAGCTCTGCTTCGCAACATCAAAAGCGTGTACACTGCAAGAACAGAAACTTGAAATGACACTTCTTACCCATCGCAAATGTGGAATGGTCCGCGAGGATCATGCTTGCCCGGCTTTAAAACTCATGGCAATATTCTGAAAAAAAAAAACGAAAAAAAAAAAACAGCCACTCCAATGGCTTGCAGAATGCAGAACAAAATTTTGGAAACAACACAGGCACGGTCAGGCAGGCAGAACAGGGAGGAGGGGCCGCCTCCTTGACCATGTGCTGCTTTTCCATGATCCGACCTTTCAAACGAACAATAACAATACCCTTACCTTTAACTACTAAGCAGCGTGCGTAATCTGACTAAGCTTCCCATCAAACTGTGCGCATCCAAGATGTCAAAGCACACACTTCTCTGATGCCGCGCTGACTGGCCAGGCTCCTGGTTAAGTCTGCATAGGATGGAAGTCGGGAATGCTCTTGCTGCTGATTACTGCACTTATAATATAGTATAGAACACACGTCACTCGGAGTGGGGTGGCTTCTGTGATCCTAATGACCTTACGATCAGCATGGCATCCTCTAACTCTTTGTCCATCTGCAGTTCCATCTGCCTGCACATCTCTAGGCCTTCCTCGAACTCTTCCAGAGCGTCATTAGTTGCCCATCTCCTGTCTTCAGCTGTGCCTTCGACAGAGGCACAGTTTGCTTTGGCATCTTGCTCCTTGGTTGCAGAGCCAACCTCTCGTTGTGCTGTGAAGCTTTCCTTCCCGAGGTACTTTCCATGCCTCGCATCGACAGATGCTTCGTCACTGCAAACAGCTGCTGCTCCTGTATGCGCAAACTGCATGCTCTCTGCTCTGCAGGCACGGTGACCACCCGGATGTTTCGCGGAAATCTGTGCCAAACGTGAATGCAGCACATCATTCCTAACTTCGGCTGCTATCCTTTCCCACTCGACTTCTTCCCACCCAGCCATGCCCAGCTTCGAACCATCTTTGCTGCAGAATTCCCTTGGAGAGTGAGGCCCTTCTACACCCATGAGGTCCTGGCTCGGATGTCTGCCTGGAACCGCTTGTGCACGGTCTACCTCAGGGCTGCCAGCTGTCGTTTTTAGCATCACTCTCGTCCCTTCTTGCCCTCCAGCTTCCGAATTCTTATTTGGCCTCCCATCCGTCTCCTCGTTTAGCCTAGCCAAGAACTCCTCGTCCTCTTTGCCCTTTCTCCTAGCCTCTTCAACGAGCTTCTGCATCTCAATCTCTGTCTCTGTCGGCGGAAAGATTCCACAAACGATGGTCACCGAATCTTGTTCCCTTGTTAAGCTTGCTCTTCCCACTTCTTTCACCCCCTCACCAAGCGAAGTGGATCTGAGTGACACTTCTTGGACTTTCGCAATTTTGTTACTTTCAGATCCACTGTTGCCTGGCCTTTGGCTTGGTCGAACGTCGCTAGCACTATGCTTGCCTTGGGGAAGACGCCCTCGAGTGGCTGAATCTGCAGCCAATGAATCAAACGACGAGGCCAAGTTCGCCCTTGGTATCCGTGGGGTTGCAGGATCATCATCATACTCCGTAGTCATCCTTAAGCGCACTGGCATGGCGCTATCACACCGGCTGGTGGGGCTCGCACTTCTGATTTGCACTGTGTTCTTCTTCTGATGCTTACCGCTGGACACATCTGAAGTCTTGAGTGAGCTGTCTGGCACCTTGCAGATCTTTCTTGCAACACCGCTCATCGGAGGTCTTGGCCTGCTCAACAACTTCCTCAGCACCACCTGCCTCTCCTCAAGGTTTCGCTTGCTGAAGGATTCCCACTCTTCCCTCAATAGATACACAACATCCTCTCCCTGCACTGAGGGCAACATAGATAGCCGCAGGCAATAAATTTCTTGAAAAACTGATGGCCAGTCAACCAGCAACCTTGTCTCACCCCCCTGAACCTGTTCACTCTCACTCCCCGCTCGCCCTATAACATGTTTAACCAACAAACGAGCGGGTGAAATTCTCGCTGGATCTATGCAGATAAGATTGAGGTACTGCAAGACTGCATCTGTGACGGCAACTTCAGACGAGCCCCTGCCACCAGGTTCTTCCTCCCGACTGCCGTCAGAGAGGACTTCCTCGGTCGTTTTTCTCTTCTTCTGGGCGCTCAGCCACCACCACCTACCAACTTCAACACTTTCTGTGTCCCTTCTGCTGTACTCCACACTGCCAGCCACCTCCTTTTGCCATTTGGCGTTATGAGAACCTGGAGATCGTGGTCTCATCTGACGGCTTGTCATGGACAAAGCTGTCCTCACGGGTACACGAGCCGGCGTCCTGGGAGGGAAGTCAACCCACAAACTCCTGTTCCCTTGCACCCAGGTCGCCCACATCTGCATCTCCTGGCCATCTGCGTCTTCCTCGGGGTAGTTGGGCAATCGAAGCGACTCCAGCATCTTGGAAACTCTGCCGACTTCAGCAGGTTCCTTCCACCCTGCCTTCGGAAGCACCCCCTTCAACCACTCTCTCCACCCACCATGCAGACCTGACTGCGCTGCTTCCCACGACGACGAAAACTGTGGAGATGCCTGAGAAGCCCGCACAATCATCGCCGCTGATCTCTCCAGTGAATAATTGAAAGCTGCAATACAGTCAGCCGGACCGAGCTCCGCATTATCTACCGAGCGCAACAAATCAACATGCTCATTGGCGTGCCTGATGATTAACTCCTTCAGACTCACAGGGACCAAATCATGTTGCTGAAGCCCACTCTCTGCAAGCCATTTCAAGCCCTGAACAAATTGCTTCTCATCATAATACACTGTTCCATCAGCCCCCATTCTGCTGTCGACGGCAATTGCATGCCATGACCGTAACCTACCCTTTAGCAATCTGTCCAGGCCAAGATCATTACCGAGCTTCAGTTCCCACGCAGGCCTTCCTGGCTTTTCATCAGTACCGTTTGCCTCATAAGAGCATGCATCCCCGCTGGCCACAATCAACACAGGCACACGACCTCCAACCGGCAAAGAGTCCAGCAAACCCTTGACCCTTGTGCGCTCTGCAGCAGGTTCAACACTGCTCCTGAGAACAAGCAGAAGGCCCTGTGCACCTTTGAACCCTGATGCAGGCATCTTTCCTTGTTCGTCCAGCCCAACATCCTTGGCCATGTACCAGAGCGTACGGCCTCCGCTCTCCTCGTCATCAGGTAGAACTTCCGCCAGACACTCTGCCACCACAGTCTCCCGCTGAATCTCCTCCGGGAGTTTAGCATGATTCCTACTTCCCATAGACATCTTTGTGCGAACCCAAGCACCGAGATGGTTCCCCGGGTGAGCGTAGGAGTTCAAAGACTGGTGGTCTGGGCCTGAGGCAGCATCTAGCAACCCACTACAAAGAACGATTCTCCACGTCAGACAAGATTTACCTGGGCTTTGCTGCACGAGTTCTTTACCTACCACAGATGGTACATCCAGATGAGCATTCATTGCTGTCCTGAGAAGTCTGAGCTCATGGTGCAACTCCCTCAGCCTCTCGGTTGCTTGTAGGGCTGTTCCACCCTCAATATGTGAATCTTTTCCACCGATGCGAATGCCTTCCCTCCAATTCCTGAAGACGCTTCCAACGTCACATGCCATCATAGCCAGTTCCGCTCTTTCTAGTTGGAGCTTCTCCTGCACCTTTTTCCTTGCTCTCTTCTGCCATCGCCTCACCCAGAGTAAGGCTCGACCTCTCTCTACTTGTAGCTGCTTCTCCGCCTCCCTCTCTTTCTGAGCCTCTCGTAACTTTCTCTCTCTTTCCTCTCTTTCTAATCTCTCCTTGTTCCTCTTCTCTTGCTCTCGCTGTGCTCTCAGGAGAGAGTCTGCGGCCCTTGTGCCTTCGCTTCCCAGGAGGATATCCCTGGATTTTGCTGCCCTTTTCCGCTGGCTACCGGTCTCAGACACTGTACCACAAACCTTACGCTTCCCTGGGAAAGTCGGTCGTGCATCCTCTACGGGAAATTTGCTGGTACTTCCTGGGGTTTCCAAGACCTGGTACCCGTCCTGCCTTCCACCAGTGTCTGCTTGGACCTCCAGCCTTGGGCTCTTTACAGGACTTCTCAATGGACTTTCGAGAGGTGGCTTCCCTCCATCGGCCATCCAACCGTTGAGAGACTCGCCTCCAACCGACTTCTCCCCGTCATCACTGTCAATCTGTCCTTCTTCCTCGTCATCCGAGTCAATCTCACCTTCTTCTAAGCTCTTTCTACGCGGCGTTTGGTTGTCTTTGATAGGTTGCAGCTTCAACTTCAGAGGACTCAATGATGCCACAGGCTTTGGTCTCATTGGCATGCTCTGTGGTGGGATACCTGTGTGTGGCTTGGGATCTCCGGTAACATCGTTAACAATCAACCGTGACCGCTTCGACATTACCAAATGTGACAGCCTGGCAGGATACTCCTGGCCTGGGTCAAGAAACAAAGGCGATTCCTTGGTCAAATACGGGACCTCGTAGTCACGTACCGTCAACCCATGATAATCGCAGAGGTACCTCACCTCATCTTCGCCCTGCAGGTAAGCACCCAAGACAATTCCAATTCAGCTTCTCTCTTGCCAACGCTGTGACAAACTCAGCCAGCAACAGTTCAACGCTCAACATAGAAGACAGTAGCAGAGAAGGCCCAAAGGTCACTCGCAGACAACACCACATGATGCCGCAGCCACTTGCCGAGGAACAAGGACATCATTGAGGATCATCAGCGACTGCTTTGTCGCAACCAGAGGAGAACGCCGGGAAGGACAGCCCCTGCCACTATCAGAAAAACGTGGTGATTCCTTCACTATGTACAGGACCCCATAATCATGTATTTTGAAACCGTGATTGCTGCAAACGTCCCTCACATCTTCTCCCTGCAAGGCATGAACCGAGACCAATCGGGATTCAGCCTCTTGCACATCACCCGGGAGAATTGAGAAGACACACAGAGGCAAATCATGGACTAGTACAGAAGGGAAACAACTTCGCAATCAAAGGGGAAAACATGTCCGAGAAACAACGAGGCAATGTTCACCACTTAGACAGGCACAAGAAAGGTGAACGTGGCTCCGCCTGTGAAGAAATCGAATTGGGTGAGAGATGGTAGCTTGTAAAAATAACCCGGGACGAAGTGTAAGAAATCTGAGAGTAGGGTTGATAAAAAAGGAACGTACGGATAGGTCAAGAACTTGTTTAGGAGACACTGAAAATGATGTGGTATAACGTGTTGGAGCACTCAGTGTTCTTGAGAAAGAAGAAACTTTAATGAAGAGATGTTAACCTGGACTGTAGGCGAATGAATAGAGAAAAATCAAAGACCTTCAAGGAAGATGTTGAGTCCTTGTTGACCAATACCATCAGTGCATGCTGTTCTGGAAGTTGATTTGGAAGTCACTCAGTCATCAGTCTCTCCCACCCTCTCTCTCTCTCTCTCTCTCTCACCCTTTTCTGTTTCACTGCCTTTCGTCTGCCTTGCAATCTTTCTGAGTTTGTTTCTCCCCACAATTTTCTGTAGTATCCTCTTTGTCTGTCCTGCGTCTCTGCGGTTGCTTGTCTTGCAGTACACCTGTCTTTGTGTCCCTGCTTGTGTTGTGCACAGTTTCCGTCTTTGATTTTTCCTGTCTGTATCTATTGCAGTATGCTTGTGTTGTGTTTTGGTTTGGAGTTGTGGATCATTAGCAGCGTGAGGATGTAGAATGTCCGCAGGAGCGCGCTTGAACCCTTTGAAGCTCCGAGTGATGTAGTGAACTCGGAGAGCGCCATAAGAGGACTCTTCTAGTCTTGCAAATAGCTTGAAGGACTGATGAAATTTTATTGAACCTTTGATTGTATTCGCAAGACGGAAGGGTCCTGCTGCAGGTTCACTCCGAGTTGATCACACAGGCTCCTTCAGACAACCTACATCCTCAGGACTGCAGATGAAGATTACGATCCACAACTCCAAACCAAACACGGCACAGGCAGACTGCACGGTTGGCTGTTTAGGGAGGTTGGAGGTGTGCAAAAGGGTGGCGACGTTGGCGGAAGGAGTAGGCAGCAGTAAGGAGCCCAGGGGGTTGCATGTTGGGGGAAAGTTTTGGTGTGTGACAGTTTGGTTGAGTGTTCGCTTCCGTGCACCCTGCTGAACATTCCTCCCCTCTGCTCTGCATCCCCCTTCGTGTAACATTGCACCTCCCCACTCAACAGCTCCCCGACCTTCCCCACCAACATCCAATGCAGCAGCACATCCTCCGTGGGACATTCCGCCTCTGCATGGAACATCCCCCCTCCTCCACCTGATAGTTCGCTCCTCCAGATTCCCGTTGTTGCTCTACATTCCTCCCCTCTGCTCGATATATCACGCGTACCACTGGGCATTTCCGTCCTCAAACCAATATCTCGCTCCCCAGTTCGAGAACATCCCACCCTTTTGCACAACGTAGTCCACCTTGAAGTGACATCCCTCTCCAATATCTGCATATCCACTCCCTTCCCCATCCTCAGCGCAGACTCTCCTCTATCCTCTGTGAGACATCTCTGTCCGCCTCCATGCAGCATCCCTTGCCTCTCCAAATCACACCCCCAAGCATGGCACGACTCTTCGCCCACCATGCCCCCTCCACCCCACCCCTTGCTTTTTCAAACGTTCAGTTCCCCAAATGCAGACTCTGCATATTACTCTCACCCCCCCTGAGAAGTGGTTAACAGAGCCCTAAAATTTCAGGGCGTTTTCATGGGCTTTATAACAAAACCCCTACACCTTTTAATTTTTAAACGAACTTGTCACCAATTGATAGAGAGGAGAACAAATAAACCAACTGCAAAATGAAAAAGGCTGAACAAAGACCAAAGGAGTCTAAAACCTCAAGGTAAACAAGTGGACTCGCCGCAGCTACGCTCGCAGCACAGCGCGGGTGATGTGTCCGAGGGCAGTTTGTGTGTTTCTGTGCTCGTTTCCATGTCAATCATCCCCCTCTGTGTATGTGTGTGCGTGTGCGCTGAGCACAGTTTGTGTTTGTGTGCTCGCTTCTATGTCGATCATCCCCCTGTGTGTGTGTGCGTGCGGGCGCGATGTGTTGCATATGTGGGAGCTGCGGTGTACTGTGTTCCATGCCATAGTGCCTGTGGAGTGTTTTGTGTGCGTGTGTTTTGCGTAGCGAACAATCATCATCATCATCATCATCATAGCGCTTTCATTCGGAGGGGGCAGGCAAGGGAGGATGGTTGTTAGACTCTTGCATGATTAGTGCTCTCTCTCTCTCTCTCACACACACAACGTAGGGTCGAGGTCGAGAAGGGTTCGGCCACAAAAGGTCCACAGCCCACTGTTTTCCCATGAAGGGAGAGAGAGAGAGAGAGAGAGAGAGAGAGAGAGAGAGAGAGAGAGAGAGAGAGAGAGAGAGAGAGAGAGAGATCTGTTTCTGGTGGCAATGTAAATTGGACCATCCGCTCCAGCAGGTCACTGCCACGTGTCATAAGCTTATTTAGTAAAAAACGCCGACCATACACCCCTCCTCATCGCGCTCCTCCTGCCACTGCTCTTGCTCCTCCTTCCGCTTGTCGTTCTCCCCCTCTCGTTTTCCCGCTCCTCCTGCAACTCGTGGAGTCTCTCGTCCTCCTCCGGTTCATCATCCTCCCCCTCCTCCCGCCCTCCATTCTGCCCCTCCTCCTGCTCGTCCTGGTGCTCCTCCCCCCCATCCCCCCCCTCCCCCCCCCGCTGGTTGGCTTCCCCCTCCCCGACTGTCATCCCCCCCCTCCTCATCACACTCCTCCTGCTCCACTTGCTCCTCCCCCTCCTCCCACTTGTCATTCTACCCCTCCTCTTGCTCCTCCTGGTTCTCCTCAGCAGTCCTGCCACCCACCCGTTCACTATCCTCCTCAGCAGTCCTGCCACCCACCCGTCCTCCTCCGGTCTGTTGTCCTCCCATTCCTCCTCCTCCAGCTCCTCCCGCTGATCATTCTGCCCCTCCGCCCACTCGTCATCATGCCCCTCCTCCTCCCGCTCCTCCTGGTTCTCCTCCTCCTGTTCACTGTCCTTCCTCCTCCTGCTCGTCATCTTCCCCCTTCTTCTCCCGCTTCTCCTCCTGCCGCTTGCCATCATCCCATACCCGTCCCATTCCTCCCGCTCTTCTCAGCTCTTCCTCCTCTTGTTCATCATGCTGCTACTGCCCTTATTCGGCGACCACGATGTGAGGGACCTCGCTGCAATTCGAACCAAATGTAAGAAATGGGAGTGAATCTTCCGCTGGAACCTGGGAATCGTTATTGTGCCCTTCACCTCCCACTCCTCCTGGTGCTCGTGGTCGTCTTCCGCCTTCTCTTCCCGCTCCTCCTCCCGGTGGTCACCCTGCCTCCTCCTGCTCCTCCTGGTTCTCCTCCTCCCACGCACTGTCCTTTCTCCTCCTGCTCGCCGTCGTCTCCCTTCTCCTCCCGCCTCTCCTCCTGCCACTTGCCATCATCTTGTCCCCTTCCCATTCCTCCCTCCTCCTCCCGTTCATCATGCTCATCCTCCCGCTCGTCATCCTGCCCTTATTCGACTACGCTCCTCCTCACTCATCATCCTGCCCTTATTCGACTACGCGACCATGACACGAGAGGCCTCGCTCATCTTCTGACCCAATGTGCAAAATGGGAATGAATCTTCTGCTAGAACATGGAAAGATACACTGCCAATTTCTTGTGCATCCGGTGAAGGCCATCTTCGAAACGACGCTTAGAAAGAGGGGCCGCGCGGGGCGAAGTAGAAAACCAAACTGCTGCGCCAACTGAAAAAGCGCCCAATCAAAAGGCCAACGCGCTAGCTACAGAAAACCAAAAAAACACTCGTGACTCTGGTGGGCCCACAGCAACTTCCCAACAGTGGCAGTAGGGTCTCACACATGATGCTCAAGCGAGACCCGCTATTTCCTTTAGGATTACTGGGGAAATGTGTTCTCAACTTCTCATGCAAAATTCACCCTTTACAGTTTTTCAGGATTTCCAGGATTTAACAGTCATCTCCAAGGCTCCCACAAACACCGAAATTGGCACCACAAACCTTGACCAAATTTGAAACAGGGCAAAAAAAAAAAAACAACAAAAAGAAAAAAAACTGAAAGAAGTCCCCAAATGCCCTTTTCAGTGTTTTCACTGGTTTCTGTGCTTGGGGGGTCAACTTATGGGCTGAAAAGTGGGGGTCGCTGTTAACTGCTTGTGTGCACCTCCCTTCACCCCCCTTGCTTTGAAGCTCACTCCTGCCTCCCCAACATGCAGTAAGGGATGCTGCATTTGCACTCTCAACCTGCTCCTCGAGTACAGCTTGGATCCATCTGCATATTGTCATCCGGATACCCATACCGGGCTTGACCATGGTTTATGAGGCTACGTCAATTTGATTACATTCCTACCAGTTGTGGTTGGACCACTTCATAATAATAGCCAAGCTTTTTGGTTACGTTTCAAGGTCAAGATTCACTCACCTCCATGGCTAACCACGACTGCACTGTGGTCAAAGGGATGCCACTGAGTCTCTGAATACTGCTGTAGATTGCAGCCAGTGCATAGGATCGCAACTGAGAAGCCCAAAACACACATCCACAAACACAGCCCAGCCACAATAGCATGGATATAATTCAGATGTGCTTAGTTCATATGGGATCAATAAACTACAGAGCAAAACACGCCGCACACAGAAGCCAAAGAGAATTAAACAAAGCTTCAAAAAAAGGGCAAAATGGCGCATATAACAAGGCTTCCGGCGCCGCCCGGCCGGGCCGGCTCAGCCGTGCACCCGTGCAGCCTGCACGGCCAGGCGGCTGCAGAGGTCACCCGTGCAAGCTTTTTTTTCTCTGTTTTTTTTTTAATCTTTTTCTTTTTTTTTGGTGATGGGCCTCTGCTGCACCTGCAGAGATCTGCCCGAATCTGCCCTATTTGCACTTGTTTCCACACTAGGGTTGGGTGGGGTCTCACTGACTCTCAATGTCTCAGAGGTGGGCGGTAGCGGGAATGGGAGGCTGCAGGAGTGACATCGGAGATGGCGGAAGGGAGGTTGGAGACTGCGGAAGGGAAGTAGGAGGTGGCAGGAGTGAGGTGGGAGGTGGCGGGAAGAGAGATGGGAGGTGGCAGGAGGAGATGTGGGAGGTGGCCGGAGGGACGTTAAAGATGGCGGGAGTGAGGTTGGAGATGGCGGGAGGGAGGTTGGACATGGCGGGAGGGAGGTTGGACATGGCGGAAGGGATTGGAGATGGCAGAACGGAGGTAGGAGGTGGCAGGAGTTAGGTGTGAGGTGGCGGAAGGGAGGTGGGAGGTGGTGGGAGGTGGAGGGAGAGAGGTGGGAGATAGCAGGAGGGAGGTTGCCCCAGCGTCCCTGAAATTGCCCCCCAAGACCCATGCGTCCAGGCCGCTTTCAAAAATGCACTTTGGAAACTTTCAAAAATGTGGTCAACCAACTGGCCTAGCTCAGTCAGTACACCCCTGAACTGTTGAAATACAGGCCCAAGTTCAAACTCCACCGGAAGAAGAGTGAAATAGTACAATTCTGAATTATCTAGGGCCGGTCAGTTCAATGATGATATCTCAAGGCCGTCGCCCTTTCCAACCAAGAAAAAAAGAGAAAAGTGGTTGTCAAGGGAGCAAGACGAAAGTTTTCTGGACCAGAAAGCCTCTCGCATGGACCCCCTTTCATGGCATGAGGCAATAGTAAGAAAATACACGGAATTCTCAAGTCATTAACCGATCAACAGGACCCTCCTGATGAACAAGAACTCCATACACATCATCCCAATAGCATAATTATAACAAAACTGGATAACCTTGAAGCCGACCCCTCTGCAGCGGTGAGCCCTTTGAAACACTGCAGAGCTGACCGGCAGCCGTAAGAACCAACAAAACTCTCGCAGCGGTTCAGCAGGCGTCACCCAGAGCGGTGCCATTCTGGGGTGATTCTGACTTTAGAAAACTCAGGTGCTGGGAACCAAGGCCCGAGAAGGTCGGGGGGAAGAAGAATCTGGCTCATCTGGAACTTAAGCCCCTCTCTCTCTCTCTCTCTCTCTCTCTCTCTCTCTCTCTCTCTCTNTGTGTGTGTGTGTGTGTGTGTGTGTGTGTGTGTGTGTGTGTGTGTGTGTGTGTGTGTGTGTGTGTGTGTGTGTGCGCGCGCGCACGTGTGTGTGTGTGCAGGTGTCTCGATAAAGAAGAAGACCAGCTATGGCTGGCAGCAGACCTCCAAGATATGGCGCCAGATGAGTGGAGAAGTCCATCACCACCTCCTCTCTCCTCTACACTGCTCTTGTGATACTGCTCCTCTAACTCCACTGCCGCTAGGCTGCTCCAACTTCGCAGCCTGGTGGCAAGGCATTAATTCTCTGAACCACCTACCAACTATGGGCCGGCCACCAACCAAGGCTGGCCTCCCTTTGCGCCGTCCAATCTCACCAAGATCCACCCGACTAAATGACAGTCCGTGTGGCCAGAACTCAGGCCCAGGCCTGAATACGTATGGGCTGCACCCCTTCTCAGGTCCAGGCCCTCCCTTGCTGTCCTGCAAGACAGCCTGGAAGGGAAAACGGCCTGGCATAAAAGCCGAACTCCAAAAATGAGCTGGGCCAGACAATGTGCGCCAGAGATCTGGATGAGACAGTCCTTGGAACTCGTCCAGACAAGGACAAAGTGAACTGGCGACAAAAAAAACCGTACCGACAATAACACAATGTCCAGGAATCAAAATCAAGCAAGGCTTAGCGAGCTGAATAACACTGAACTGAGAACAGGCAAAATACATACATCTCTGCACTCAAAACAGAAAAAATACACACACGCCTATTCTTAGAACAGGCAAGATACTCAACACGCCTGGCGGAGAGGACGAGCTACAATGTCGGGTCCTCACCCCTGTATAGAAGGCTCTGGGCATGCTGCAGAGAGAGAGGGAGAGAGGCAGAGACAGAGAGGCAGGCTGGCTGAGACAGAGACAGAGACAGAGACAGAGACAGAGACAGAGACAGAGACAGAGACAGAGACAGAGATGGAAAGGCCAATGACAAACCTTTGAAAAATGTGCATGCATGAGACAATCTTGAAGGTAATCCGCCTTTCTTGCAAGACAGAAGAAGGTCCGAAAATTACCCAAACGGTAGGCCCTGAAGCACATTGAAAACAGAACCGCATAAAAAAGACAGAAACAAAGCAGATGGAAGTCAGCGCATACCCACAAGGGGAATTCACAGATAGCAAGCACTGAGGAAAGAAAAATGACAAGCCGAATCTAGCTGGTCCATTGGGACATAATTGTTCTCTGCTGCATTTATTTCTTTGCATGTTCATCGAAGTGTTCATAGCTTATTCATCCAGGCCGCGCTGAACTCAGAAATACTGACCCATCATGTAGAATTACAATTTGCAAGCGTTGAGCATCACCTTCAGACGTTGCCATGGTCCCCAAATTTCAGAAACCGCATACATAATTAGAGGGCTCCTGTTGATACCAAGGTGATGCCATTTTGTCACGGGAGGTATGATGAAATGAACCAAGTGCTCATCAAGTTCCACCTCGCATACATCAATGAACGAGTTCACACGTGAGAAGCCAAACCGAGATACAATCAACACATGAAGTTGTCGTCTCCAAAATTATTATCAATACACAAGAATGTTTATCTCCACCGGCTCTGCCACACACACACACCCAACGAATCTCAACCAGATAGTGGCTATGGCTTCTCCCTTCTCTTTCCCTCTGTCTTGCTTCTCTCTCTTACTTGGCTCGCTCCGCCTCACTCTCTCTCTCTAACCTATATCGTCACCCTGGATACACCCACTCAGGTAAGCTTCCACCTTGGCAGCTATGGCCGCTCACCTCCTACGCTACCTTGAGCGCCCTCTTTTTCCTCAGGTGCAAATTGCCCAAGTTGCCTTAACGCACAAGCAGCAGCAGCGCTTCTGCATCTCGCAAAATGAACAAGCAATGAGCCGCTGCACTGTAGCAGCTAAATATAGGACTTGACTTGGTTTGGCCTGCTTCAGACCGGTACCAGTCGGCTGCGGCCTGTCTGCTGCAAACATTTTGTCGGTCCAGTACCTTCCGGACTTTCCTGGGACATGCTGCAAATTGGACTTGGGATTGTCGGACTTGACTGGACCTCTCTGGACTTTTCTTGTCGGGTACCGGACAGACTTCTACTGACCTACGACTTTTCGGTACCGACACCTACCGACCTACGACGCTTCAGCCTACGGACCCTTTGACACCTCGGGACTCTGGGATCGGAACTGGGGTGTCTGCAGCATGAATCCTTTCAGTGAAATCCGAATGATCGTGAATGACATCTGTGCATAATCTTCTGCCGTTGAAGCCCTTAAGTGTCTACATCACGCATACTACCATGCTCTTGAGTCCTGGCCAAGATGCTGATTTTGTCCAATGTAGAGATGACTGTGAGAGCACTGACACAGAGCACACTTGGCCAAACTTGCAAGAGTAAAACATCTTAAGCTTTAATGACAGGTTCACGAGTGTTGTCCAAAGCACATCAGATCACGATCTCCTCTTCCTCCTGCTTTCTCTTCTTCTTCGTCATCTTCTTTTTCTTCTTCTCCGACTTCTCCTCCTCAATCCCTCCCCTTGCTGCTTCTGCTTCTGCTTCTGCTTCATGCTTTGCCGGTGAAAAGATTTCGTGCATTTCTGTATTTGAGTCCCAGACCCGGCCCGAGAACTTCAAGTCCCATGCCCCATGTATCATAGCCCAACTGGTAGGCCCACTAGTATCGTAGAAACCATGGGGTAACATAGGCCTATCCATACAGTTGGTCCAATATTCTGAAGTCCCATGTCCCATGCATCATAGCCCAACTATATGTGGAGCTTTCGTGTGACGAGTGTGAATTCTCATGGCCTTGTGAAGACGTGTAAATGTGTGAGATCACTGCATCGGTATCACCATCACCATAATCATCAACAGCTTCAACATTGTCATTGTCGTACCGATTTAACCATCATAACTTTTGACGCCTCATCCTATACGACTCTGTGACCATCATGACCAGGTGTGGACTTGTCCCTGTATCTCCGTGCCCATTATCATAATCATTACCTCCCTGATTCCCTCGGTTTCGTTAAAGCCATCACAATAGCGTGGCATTCTTCAAAACCTTTCTGCGAGTTTGTTCTTTCAGAACACCTGTCCCAGATCCCCATCGGCTCCTTCCCGAAACTTCCTCCTTTCAGCGGAACCACAGGTCATCGACCAGCTGTTCATCCATTAGATGTCAGCTGGCTGAGCTGGCACACGCCGGGTCAGGGTCGGAGAGATGTAGGGTGTCAAAGGCCAGGGACAGTTGGGAGGGAGAGGCCAGCATCAGCATCGCAGGGAAAGCTAGCATTATTCAGAAGGTGCTTGAAAATGCATCTCACCACTCAGTTACCTCTCATAGATTATCAAAATTTTCCGGAAACAAACATGTTCAGAACTGTTGGTCATAACAATAAGCTGCAAGAGAAGTGAACTTGCAACCAATCATAAAAGTAAGAGATCGCCAGTCTCAGTTCTGAAGGCAAAAGTCGTGAAGGGCAGGGTGATCGAAACGGACATATTCACTATCTTCTGCCCAACAGTCCAGAATGACAACCTTGAGATAGACCCAGTGGAATGCGCATGGAATCTACGGAGGTCAACACGGCAAGTATCACTGAGAATAAACATTCTGCATTACACCACTCGGCTGGGCTACAGGCTAAGGAAACGTTCACAGGCACCGGACGATCAGCTACAACAGCGATGGCAAAACCAGATGAATAACACCCTGGGACAGACACGAGAATTCCCGTGGACAAAGCTGGAGGCCATACGACTGGGCAAAGTCAGAAGTCTACAGTGGCTGTGGATCCACTTGGCACTACCAGTAAACGTTTGGCTCAACATGAGAAGGCACCAGGAAGACCGCAGCCGACATAACAAACTCTATAAAGTCTGTACAGATGGTCACAAGGAAACAGTGAGACACTGCCTGCAGGACTGTAAAGGGGCACAACAAATTTGGCAGGAGATGATGAACTTATGGCAGGCAATCAGGCGAACAGTACCAACCCCTTGCCTAACAAAGACATAACACTACTGCTGGGAATACAGACAACGTCAAAACGGTCAGCATTGGAGAAAGGGTGTTTCCAGAAGCTGAGACAGTATGCGATGTGGATGATCTGGAAGAGCAGATGCAAGGCCACAATGGAAGGACAGCCGATGCACAGAAAGAAATCACGGGCAGAACTCAGACAACTGCTAAGGACGGACATCAGACAATAGGCAACAGCACGTAAGCGAATAAATAGTACTCCAGAGAAAGCCCAGCAAATACGAGAGAAGCTTTCAGCAACAACATCATAGGAAATGGGAAGGTGGCGGAACTACAAGAAAACAAGATCCAATGGAAATGGTGGCAGACACCGGAAGACATGGTCAACACAGCAGCAAGAACCGGAGGCCTAGAAGGCGACAAAGGCAAGGGGGAAGACTAGGGGTTAAGGGTTTTTAGCAAGAACGAGGCTAGGGAATAGCTTCTTCTCTGCCTTCCTTGAAGTTTTCTTCCTCCTCTTCTTGCTGTCTGTTGTTTTGTTAGTCCAGTTTCTATGTTTTGTTCTGGAATAGCATGTTGGGATTTTGAAGCATAGGACACTGGACCCGCTTTCCAGTACGAGCCTAAGCTGGGTATTGGCCCCAGCATTCCAGGTTGAGATGTGAAGGGATTCCCGGCCTCCTTTTGTGCATATAATGAAATCATCAACGCTGGACCGAGAACCTGCCGGATCACCTGCCCCGGTCCAGGGGGGTTGGGGGTTGAACCGGCAAAACCGGATGCCCCCAAAAAATGCCCAATTTTTAAATTCTTTTTCTGATGGTGGCATCCAACTGCGCTCGCTGAGATCTGTCGGATTCCGCATTAAAACTTGTAAAGTCAGAAATTTTTGGGTGGGTGGGTGGGGGGGGGGGGGGGGGTTTGGGGGTGGGGGGGGGGCACCGGAGGGACATTTTTTTTATGGCGAGGGATGTGTTTCTTGGGTCTGCAGGCCAGCAAGCAGCAGCATACATACCTGATGGAAGACGAGGCAGACGACAGTGCGAGGTGGAAAATGCAAAGAAGAAAAGGGTAAAGAAGGAGAAGAAGAAGAAGAAGAAGAAGAAAGATAGAACAGATAAAGGGCTGATACATTGAGGGCATCGGCTCAGCAGCCAATCCAAGTGTTCTCCAAGTCAAACATGTGTCCAGTGGATCTCTCTCTCTCTCTCTCTCTCTCTCTCTCTCTCTCTCTCTCTCTCTCTCTCTCTCTGCAGATGACAGTGCGAGGTGGAAAATGCAAAGAAGAAAAGGGTAAAGAAGAAGAAGAAGAAGAAGAAGGAATACGAAGAAGAAAGATGAAACAGATAAAGGGCAGATACATTGAGAGCAGCGGGCAGCGGCTCAGCAGCCGATTCAAATGTTCTTCAGGGTGGTGATGGCAATGGCGAGCGCGAAGGTGGCGGGCTGGTGCAGGGGCAATGGCTTCAGCGGGCTCGGCTGCAAGTCGAAGTTCACGTCCGCTCGAATGAGCGCGCCATCAATTTCGATGTAGCCTCCAGTGGTTGGGGCCGCGGCGCTGGGCGGGAGAAGGGCAGCTGTAGGCCGGCAGGCTCGTGTTTTCGAATTTGAAAACAGCGGCCTGCAGGACCCCGAAATTTTGAAAGCTCACGCGGCGGATCTTCACCGCCTATCTCCGATGATCAGCGGTGGAGATCCGCCGCACCTTCTTTCAAAATTCCGCGGTCCTGCAGGCCCCCCTTTTTTTTTTCAACGATGATCAGCGGTGGAGATCCGCCGCACGTTCTTTCAAAATTCCGCGGTCCTGCAGGCCCCCTTTTTTTTTTTCAACAATGTGGCAGCCTCCTGGAGGCTGGGCGGGCAAGGGAACGCCTTCAAATCCCCGGTACACCCCTCCCCCACCGTCATGCGCTGGGTTGGTCTGGCGGCCTGCCAGACCGGTGGACCGGCCGGTCGGACCACCAGGCTCCCAGACGTGGGAGGGCCCCCGGGACCATCCGGGGACCATCACTGGAAATCATGCTATTTCTTCAACAACAAAAAAAAAAAAAAAAAAAAAAAAAAAAAAAAAAAAAAAAAAAAACACCCCCCCCCAAAAAAAAAAAAGGGAAGGGGAAACAACAAAAAAAAAAAAAAAAAAGAGGGGGGGGGGGGGGGGGGGGGGGGGGGGGGGGGGGGGGAAAGAGATATTGGGCAGGTTGGGTGATGGCAAGGTGTGTGGAAAAGAAGAGAAGTAGCAGGCCAGCAAGACATACTACACAAACTGCAAAATTGGCACCGATAATGACAAGAAGCTCCAGAGCATAGAGGAGAAAGGAGCAGGAGAGTTAGAAGACGGAAAACATAACACGCAACTTGCAAACTTAGCCTACGTTTAGATTAACCATCAAACGTTTGCAAGTGGACGATGGACAAGTTCAAGCCGCTAGAGTCGCCGATCCGAGGTCTTTTGCTCAGCTTTCGACTGGACGGGACGAAAAAAACTCACGCTTTTTAATGATCATTGACTAACCAAATCAGACACGGTTCAAAATCAAAGACCGTTTGAAAAGAACGAACAAGAAATTTGTCCTTCTCACATGAATACTCACTTCACAACTTCCCTAGCAAACTTCACCTCTTTGGAATTCCTTATTTCTCTGGGCATCTTTGCAAGATCCAATGCGAGATCCCCGGTCTGCACCTGTACACATTGCATTTAAAAATCGACATTTGAGCTCCCAAACCTTCAGTGCAAAGATGAGACCAGTTCAGCAAGGAAACATCTAACTCAGTCTTCTTTTAAGCCCTAACTCAGTCTTCTTTTAAGCCCAGGAATCCAGACGATCACACAACCATAGATGACACTCACACACAGTCCTCCTTCAACTGTGCCCAATGCAGTAGGTCGCTGTTGCACTCTCTTCCACTATCTGTACTCATGACAAAAGCAAGATATGGCAGCTCTAGTGAAAGCCAGAAGCCCTCCGCACACTGCGAGGAGCCAAAGAGCGCTGTATTTCAAGACTCGCAAACAGAGATCCCCGGAAAAGTCACAGAAGCCAAGTGATACTGCTATCTCTGCTGCCAGCACGGAACTGCAGCATCCGCTGGGAGTGAGTTCCAATGGCACAAGCCATCACAGCAAGGGAAAGACAAACACTTACAGAAAGAGTTAAGGAACAGAGTATGTCCTGTCTGACGTGGCCGCAATGACACATCATCCTTCCCACTCAAATAGTAGTGGTAGTCGAACATTGTCTGAAATTAGCGTAATGAGCTGCTATCCATGCCGAATAAAGCATTTCCACCACATTACCCACATCGGTAACCATTCAAATCACCACAAGGATGAAAAATTGTGTATCATGTTATCATCCACAATGGATAAAGCATGCGGATCATAAAACATGAGAAAGGCAGGCAGGCAAACGTTCTTCCGGATGAGTGTTATATTTACGCAGTGCTCATCACGGAAACAGGTTCAGACACCCAGAGGTCAACCTTTGGGCATGGGAAGTCGGGAACCCTTTTTCTAAATCCACGCACGGCGTGTCTCCGAAAAATGACGGGGAAACGTACTGGTCGTTTAACAGTTCCTCCAACATTTGGTCAAACCTCATTAAGAAGGTCATTCCCTGGACAATGTGGAGACGGGATGCTATAAAACCACTGACCGCCGCAAGATTGAGAAAGCGGTGGCTGCCTGGACGATGAGGAGACGGAAATGCTATAAAACCACTGACCGTCGCAAGATTGAGAAGGTGGTGGCTTGGGCCCAGTCAAGAGAATTGATTGAAACGGAAAGCACGAGCAAGTGGGCTCTCCAAGACTCATCTGGAAAGGTTCCGCAGTGAGAAGAATCGTTTTATCAGGAGGTGGTGGACACCCATGGTCGATAACCACATTAAGTGGAAAAAGTGGTACACTCACAAGGAAGAGAATCCACATTCAACAGGCTGCCACTAAGAGATCTTTGTGTCCAGATTTGTGAAGAAAGGTGATGACACCTCACCACCATCAGCATCAGAGGCAAGGCCCTAAGGCACACATCCCTCACACCTGAAATGTTTCAGCGTATCATGCCAAACTGACAGCGCACATATGCATTGACTGAGAAGACCCCAAGAAGGACACAAGGCTTGCCTAACAGTTAGTCTCTCTTTCACGAGCAATCAATCCCAATCAGAGGTTCCTTCAGCCACGAGGAAGCATGAGTATAATGTACACTGATGTATTTGGTACTTAGGCTGGTGGAAGAGGAAGCAGACTAATGGGCCCCCAAAACAGGAAGGAGCCGCGACCAGAAGGTCGTGATTTATAAAGCAGAAACAAAATTATAATCTACGTCCTCTGACAGACACCAAGTTCCTCACCAGGACATCCAAAAGCCACAGAGAGGTTTGGTAAGGTCCCAGTAGAGGCTCAACGCAGGTCAGTTTTTGGAGGATCGTGACCTGTAGAGGCTGCAGGATATGTTCCGGAGGAAGATGTTGGCAGCAGTACATGGTGGTTTAACAGGTGTTCCATGCCCATCTTGTTGAGGAGGCATGTAAATCAGTGGTGACACAGGCGTAGAGACCAACCTCTTGACATCAACCCAGGCATACCAGTAGTGAGAATGTCCGCTCCATAGCATGTCTCCGGTCAAGGCTGAAGCGGGTTGGTAGGTATAACCCAACAATTTGAATCCATTAAAAAAACTTGGGAAATGATGCAGTAAATCTGGACTCAGTAAACACCCCATGTGCCCATCCCTGTATGCACATGCAACCCAGGGTTATTGAGTGAAGACTGTGACACCATTCCATGTATGTCTTTGACTTCCTTTTCTTAATTTGGACGATTTCTCACTTGGTGTGTATCATTCTCACATGAGCAGAGGGGCCATGCTAAACGTGAGGGACGGTTACACGGTTTCGAAGAACATTACTGCGTTCAACTTCTTTCAACAGGATCTGAGCTCTGAAGTCCTGATTCATTTCCTTTGCACACACAGGTGCGTAGTACCATTGAACTAAGCGTGATGCAACACCGAATCACAGACACATGGAGGCTTCACAATTTCCTACCCTTCATCCTGCACTCCGATAAGGACCAGGGAAATGTAAAGAGTGTAGGAAGGCTCAGAAAATTGCACCAAAGGAACAGAGAAGGGAAGAAGAGAGACCAAGGGCAATGGTTTGGGGGGGAGCACCTGCCAGGCGTCTTGGAATGATGTAATGATGAGAAGCAACGGCGAGGTGATGACAGAGTCACTTCCAACTCACCGAGTATCCCTCATGCTGATCGACTTTCAGGAGGACATAGTAGGCCCGGAATTCCGCTTCGTTCTTTGATGCCTGTCCGCACTTACGAAGGTCGTCGTAGATCTCAAACAGAGTTATAGATGCTTTGTTGAGCTGCTCTATGTTGAGATGCTGATCAAAAACCGTCTTCTCCTTCTCACAGAGCTCGTGCATTGCTATGATGTGGAACCGAATCTTTTGCAGCAAACAATGCAAATCAAGGAAACACCAGGTGCACAACCATCAACATAATATCTTTGAAAGAACACTGCATCCTTACTGCTGTCTCTCCTGGACCCTTGACCGCCTTCTCCAATCTCCCTGTCAGCAAGCGCCTTTGGTATTCAACTGTACTGGCATGCCCATTAAAACCACAGTTTCCATTGCGCCGATTTACTTGGACGCTGAAGTGCTTGTCAGTCAATGATGGAAGAAGAACACACATTTACTTCTTCATATAAGCATTGCAGCATCCACATCCATTGGGTGTCAGAAGATGAGAAAGATGAAAAGAGAGAAAGAAGGGACCCAAAGTGCACAAAAGAATCAACAATGACAAACTGCACGTCTTCTTCCTCCTTTTCTCCAGTCCATCAATAACAGAAGTATACAATCACATTCCGACACTGAATTGCAACAGCGTCTTCCAATTCACACTTTCAGCACCTGCTCACAAGAGAACCATGAGTCTCTCTTCCAGCTACATCTCCCTTCCTTCGCACTCTCCTCTAGCATCTACATCAAGCATCCGCACTTGGACACTGAATTCTCACCACTGGAGAGGTCAGCATGACCTCCAAATGAAGGAAGAAGAGGATCTGAACTTTCTGAAGTGCATAGAAGACACCTCCAATGAGATCATGGATCCCACTGGTCAGTAAGGACTTGGTTAACCCTGCGGGAGAGCCTGAGCAATTTTGAGGATAGGAGGTGGGCTTGGCGAGTACTGAGTATAGTCTTGCCTCTCTCTTGTCCATCTACTGCATCCCTCATTCTCATCTGTCGAAACCTTAAAAGATTCTCCTTGTCCAACCCTCTTCCCCTGATCTCCATATTACTTCTGATTTCATTCCCCTTCAGAGTCACACACCAGGTGTCAATGCATCCATATTTCCACTAATGTCATCACACCGCCTCTCCTACTTTCGATGTTTGAAAGAGTTGTTCATTCTTTCAATGATTTGTTTCAGTGCACTATAGCACCCTCATGTTCTGGCTGTGATCCCACAAGTAACATAGATCCTGCTTCTGGTTAGCTGAGGCGGCGGCAGTCTTGTTGTCTGCTCTGGCCATCAAACACAGTGGTGCGCCCTGCAAACCACATAGCCGGCACTGCTCTCCTTCCATAAACAAGACACCATTGGAGCAACGGGCTGGCTTCAGTACTTCCTCCTCCTCATTGTCCTTGTGGATAAAGCATTTGTACCTAACACATGGGACAATAGTGCCAGATAAGATGCACTCAACGCTGCCATTGATACTCAAAAAGCATCACTATTGACCCCTTCCTCGGCCAGACCCCTTTCGTTCTGAAAGAGAGGACCAGCCACCGTCGCAAGGTTGTGATTCGACTTGTTTCTCCTTATCAATGCCACATCAACTCTTGATCCTGCCAGCTAACCCTCGACTCATTCATCAGCTTTCGTAGGTGTGCACCGTGCAGAATCACAGCATCCCCCTCATACAGAAACAAAGCTCGCCTAAGTTAAACTCACCCTTAGAATGCCAACCGACCTTCGTAGGCATGCGTTGTCATTCCGTAGGTGTGCACCGTGCAGAATCACAGCATCCCCCTCATACAGAAACAAAGCTCGCCTAAGTTAAACTCACCCTTAGAATGCCAACCGACCTTCGTAGGCATGCGTTGTCATTCCGAATAGCATCGTTCTGTCAACAGCCACAAAGTTTTACCTAGCAAGTCTCTAGCCTGCCACTGACTGATAAAATGTCCACAGCCAAACACAATTCAGTGATCCATGACAGAGTTTTGGAGATGGGTATTGTCGCAACCACCTGTGGAATTCCAGACACATTCACCACGCACTGGGAATCCTCACTCCGTGCAAATTACATACCATCTGCTCCAGCAGGGTAACAGCTCGGTCATCTCTCAGATGCTGCATTGTCAGGTCAGTGCGAATTGCGCGCATACGATCCCACAGGAACCGATGCAGACCAACTAGCTCGTTGCTGTAATGTTGGTTTAGTAGCCCAAGGAGGTGATTCATTGTCTTCTCAAGGACTGGCAATGGCCGGATGTGCTCCTCCTTCATCACAGGTGCACGCTTATACTGCAAAGATCAAGGCCATCAAAAATGTGTCGTCATGGGCTCAGTTATATTTGCATTGCAGACACGAACATCATCAAAAGCATGTGGCCACGATTTCATGTGTGATACAGACACAGAGCATTGAGGTGCATGAGAAGCAATAGTAACTGAGGACAAGCTTCATAACTAATATAACGATGGCTGGATAAGTTGGTACACGCATAACTTAGTACAAAGTTACAAACTCATGAGTGACCAGAGAATGCCACCAGGTGGCACCAGAACAACAACATTCTAAAACACCTATGGCATGCCAGGTGATCTGAGAGAACAAGTGTACTCTTCCTATCAGCTGAAGGAGAGAAACTCCCCAAATGAGACACGGTGCGCGTGAGAAAAACATGTGTGCACATCACACATTGGGCATCAAAGTGTATGAGGGTTGTAAAAGGACTACGGCAAAGAAAGGACACCCATGCCGAGTGATATCCCTATCGTGGACGGGTAGGGATTGAATTTGCTACGATGGGAGGTGCGGCCTCCCTAATGTGAGGCATTAGAATGACAAATGGGAGGGTGACCATAGGACATTGAGCCCGGCATATCGCCAGCAATATAAGAAACCAGATAAGATGGAACACTTAGCAGAATTACCTCTTTAACCGCCCGGGTCTCATCCGTCTGATAGCTGTCCCCCGGCAGCAGCTCATAGGGGTCAAGATGGCCCGTGCGAGTGCGTTCCTCTCTCTCAGCCTCTGCAAGATTTACAGCCGGCAAGAAATTGGCATACGTTAACCAAATTCCAAGTTTGACCCTGGAAAAGTGAGGTGGAAATGTTCTGGAGACGCTGCTGGACACAGACATCACTATCAGCATTGCATACTTCAGTGCGGGAACAATGAGAATCTCTAGGAATGGTCACGCGACTGCTAGCAAGCGCAGGCACAAATGACTGCCATGGATCATTGACATCGTGCAACATCAGCTATAGCTGGCCAAACCACACAAGAAGGCACCTTTCCGCAGGCATCTGAGCGTTCTGCATGATCCATCTTACAACCTCCATTTTATTGGCTTTTGTTCAGCATCACCATGGCCAACCTGAGGACCCCAGTGACTATGCAATCTGGGAGACAAATTGAATCAGTCAGTCCAACTCACCGTTGCGTTTGAAAACCACAGGGAGGGAGCCAAAGAGGTGAGAGGGAGGGGGAGGAAAGGAAGGGAGCTGGGGGGCTAGAGGGGGGTGAAGGGGGTATTGGGACACCAATAAACAGACACTCACTGTTTAACTTCCATTTTCATGTACCACGGAATTCTGATGTCACACTTTGTGCCGGCACACAAACGTAAAAGTTCAAGGCGTTGCCAATTTTTTTGGGTAGAGGCAACTTTGTTGCACTTAGGATTGCCTGTATTATGGGTCTTTGTTCTACAGGATCAGTATGATTCTCTTGTTATACCACCAGTATATCCAAGGCTGGCGGCTTTCCCCTCCGAACCAAGCTTTGCCGAAACGCCAGTGCGGTGTTTCTGTTTTCAATTTGGCTGGCGCCAAAAGCCATTTCGGTCCGGTTGCCCTGAGCCTCCGAATTTTCCGGGGAGGCTCCAGGGGCATGTACTGGTGTTTAACGAACACAATCATATGCAAAACTTGGCCACACGTGGCCCTGAGAAAATGAGAGAGCCTCCCCAATGGCCTGTGGAGTAATGGAAGTCTCCAAAGGTGACTTGCATTTAACTAATTTGAGGCTTTTGAGCTTATTTATATTTATTATTTATCCTTATGAAACCTAAATCTATATTGTCTATACCATTCTAAGTTCGACTATATTTTTTTCCCGACCTAACTCTGAATCGCCCATACCATGCTAAATTTGCTATATGTTTTTCCAACTCTGCAAGCCTCCAATGCTCGGACCAAAGCCTTGCAGTGTGCTCCAGGAACTCTATGATACGGTGCACACGACTGGAATGTCCGATCAGATAGATCAATAGAAACTTACAATTGAGACAGTCGTAAGGCAGATTGCGAGTATCTAGTTGAAGCCAGGCATTCTCGCCCGTTGAATGATGGACCCCACCCAGCCCAGTCACATTCTTGATGCCCTGGATCAAGCAAATGCTAGAGTAATCAATCAGCCGTACCAACATCTAGGGGCACTGGGTCAAGCGAATTCTAGAGTAATCAATTTACAGCTTAGGGCTGCACGATTCCTGAAGCTTACCTGCATATTCTGATAGCCCTGACAACAAAACAGGAAATACCATAGGTTATGTCAATCACAACGTCACTATTTCGGCATTCATCTCTGCAGCATTAAATATGAGCCCCCCCAAGCCCCCCGCCTCCCCCCCGCCCATCTCTGCATATTCTGGTAGCCCTGACAACAAAAAAGGAAATACCATAGGCTATGTCGAGGACAACATCGACTATTTCAGCATTCATCTCTGCAGCATTACAGCCCCCACTACCCTGCCTCCCCCTACGTCCCCTACCCCCCACCCACACACACACCCATACACGTGCATGCACAAGCGCACAAAGAGGCTGTCCTGCACACAGATGTGACTGCAAAAGATGCATGAGAGGATCCAGAGAGTTCACTGGCAGTTGGTCACATACTGGGACACATATCGGGGCATGTCCCGGATAGCACAGTTGTCTCATCCCAAACCAATCGCTCCATCTCAACTTCTCCAGCAGGCTCGGGGCTGAGACGCAGTGGCGACAGCGGTGGTTCGCCTTTGGAGACTCGCTCTGCCTTTGATACGGGCATTGCTTTTCCCCGAGATCGCTGATTTGCCTGGTTCAGCCCATCAGCCACTGGCTCAGGATCATCAACAGCTGATGGCCCCAAGTAGGCCCCAAATCTTTGTGCGCGCACTTGTCTTTGCTGAAGCTCCCTGAACCATCCAGCAAACGGATCATCATACCATCATAATGAAAAGCACACGCAGAAATGGTGCATGCCATCAATTCGTTAGATGGATGCAGATCGAAAACAGCCATGACATGCTTTTAGTTCCTCTAGTGTTTCTTTGGCTGTATGCGGGGAGGATCGAGGGGGCAGGCAGACAGAGGGAGTGAGGGGAGGGGGGCAGCATTATGTCCTTTGCTCCAAACCAAGGAGGAACAGATGAACTGGAAACAAAAAAGGGAAAACGTACTATCACAGCCTCAACTACAGACGTTCACAACGAATTCTCCTTTCCTTCTTCTTTCCAACACAAAACAACAAAATATTCAGCATTGATTTTCGCAGAAACGAGAGTTGCTAGAATAGAAACACGAAAGGGTTCTTCCAATTTCCGACCACGACAACACCAATCTGATACTCTACAACTGCCCCTCGGAAAGGAGGAGGAGGAGGAGGAGGAGGAGGAGAAGAAGAAGAAGAAGAAGAATGCGGAGAAGAAATCCCTCAGAAAGCTAGACACCTTTTTTCTTTTGTTGCAAACATACGGTAAAGAACACACTCTGAGCAGCTAACAAAAGAAATGGAAGTGATAGATCATAACACAAAGGAACTAAAGTCCCGGAAAAAGAGAAAGCACAAATTTCAAAAGAGAATTCGGGAGAGGAAACAGATTGAAGAAATGAAAAGGAAACTCTCCCAGGGAGAAGGGCAAAAGAGTGAGGTTTCTGAGCCTACCCTAGATTTGCTGCTTGTTTTAGACCTGAAGACTGTCTACAACCGTAGCTGATGTCCAACGGACGCATGATGAAGGAAGACACGAGCTGAGGGGGAAAAAAAAACAAGCCTCAAACCAGCAATCAACGGCAAAGATAAGATGGAAGACCACCTTCTTGCAGCGACATACTTACCTGCCATGCTCTCCATCTCACACGCTCTCGCTCTCTCACCCTGTTGTACAGAGAGCGGGGGAGGTGGGGGACTTACAAGAGCTCGATGCAAGAACATGGGTGTGACATCATGCTTCGTTTATTAGCCATCATCAGGAGGATGTGTGTCATTCTATATATATTGACAGAGCGTGTGCACCTCTTCCCAATTGTTTTTCGATGACGTCCTGTTTTATTTTTCTTTGCACATACCAAGCAGGTATTTTATCCTTGACGAATTCCCGTGCTCCTGATGTTGAATCAGGCTTCCATCCATCCTTTCTCAAATAATTCTCTCATCCTGATCTACCTCGAGCACGAGGAAGGAATCTTTATCCTTTATAACTTCTTTCCATATGTTCTTCCTGATCTCCTATCACTCTTCCATCCTCGTTTTCAAAATACTTAAAATACCACTCCCTCCACAGAAAGAGACTTTGGGGGACCAGTAGCACAGGTTCACAAGGGCTACTGATAGCATAGTGTGGAGAACCACCACTTTGGCAAAAACGGAAAATGTCAAATTGCTGCCGCGATTTATTTCGCAGTCGGAACAGTTCTTTTCATTTTTTTATTTTTTTCCTGGAAAGATCAGAACCAAATCTACAGGCCCTCCAATTTTCAGATTTTTGACAAGCGAGCGCAAAAAAATCACCGAAGTCGTACTTTCTCCCCAGCGAAAATCGTGTTGGCCCACACATGGCACCGGGAAGATGAGAAATGCCCCAAGTCAGCACGACAATCTATTTCAAGGTCAAAAACTTATTTTTCATTTTTCTGATACTTTTCCTCAAAAGATCAGGACCTAATCTACAGGATCTCAAAATTTTAGATTTTTCTCTGCTCTCTTCTGGGCGCGACGCTTTTCTTTTTTATTTTTGGAGTTGCAACCAATCTCCGCTTCCTTTTTTTTCCTTCTTTTTTTTTGGGGGGGGGGGCGGGGTCTCCTTTCCTCGCAGCAATTCTCCCCGGTGCACCCCCTACTCGCATTCATGCCTCAGGTCGAGGACCATCACCCAACCACCAAGCTCCTAGCCACTTGCAGTAGCCGGGCGACACCATAGCTGTAGGCACCAGGGCTAAGCAGGAAGCCCACTCCGCCCATGGTGGAAGCATAGTCAAAGTGAGCCATGTTGTATGGGTACTTCGGACACTAGGTGTAGACAGTTATACCACAGGCCCCATAGGTAGAAGACACAGTTGTCCCCCACACCAGCTCCAGGCACCCCAGTTTTTTTGTTGCTAAGCATGCCTACTCTAGATATCACGGGTAGTGCCTAATGCCCCCCCCTTAGCCAAGGTCTGACCAATGATAACCTCCTTAGGAACCAACGTAGTGCAGCAGCATATATCAGCCGTACCATGTCGTTCCAATCGTATTGCAGGTCTTTTTTGTACTGTTGTTGTACAAATGGTCAGTTGCTACCGGTTGTATGAACTCCAAAGGTACCCATGCTTCTGTCATCAGTGGGTAGACAGCCTCCCATGTGTCCCCAAGCATCAGTCATCAGCTGGGTTCCTCCGGGAAACGGAAGACACGTGACTATCCTCAGTAGTTACTAGGCCACCATCCTTTCTTCTACTAGTCTGTAGCCCGTTCCCTCGAGTTGTATGTAGGTGTACGGTTGCATGGACACGGAACAGAATCGAACCCTGAACCAGCTGTATGTGGTTGTATGGTTGTATGAACGCCGAACGGAATCAATCCTTAGACCTCATACGTAGATCTTTAGCTCAATCAACTGACCTACTATGTCCGCTAGTCTATGTGGGCGCTCCACTAGGGTGGGTGACAAGTACGTGGGGTGCGAAACCAAACACCAACCGATCGTGCACAGGGGAGATTGAGCGCCGATGGGAATCGAACCTACAATCTCCCCCTTACGACAACAGAAGCTCTAACCACTGAGCTACCATGTACTTCCTTACCAACTGGTTATCTAAAGGGTAAGGCACCAACCATGCTGCAGGCAAAGACATGGGGCCAATGGGAACTGAATCCACAACCTCCCTAATGCCGCTTGTGTCTTATCAACTGAGCTACACCCAGTTGGCCAACCAACCAACCAACCTCCGCTTCCTTTGGGCCTACCGGCTCCCAAAAGTCCCGGAAAGCCAATTTTTGACTGTCGAAGAAGCCATTTTTTTCCGGCAATAATAAAGAGGCAGCCCTTACAATTGGAAAGATAAATCTTTGTTGTCAAGCCTAACTGTCCTCATGCACAGGCTAAACCAAGGAGGTATTTTATCCTTGACATATTCCCGTGCTCTTCATGATCTCCAATCATTCTCCCATCCATCCTTTTTAAATAATTCTCTCACCCTGATCTACACGAGGAGGGAATCTTATCGTTTGTAACTTCTTTCCTTATGCTCTTCCCGATCTCCTATCACTTTTCCATCCTCTTTTTCTTTTTCCCTTTGTTCCTCATCCTTGCGCAGCGGCCGTGCTAAGCTTCTCTGTATCGTTCCAGTTTTAACAGATGTTCCGGAGGACTAATTGCAAGGAAATAGGCAATGCGCACAGCAATAAACCAAGTTGCAACATCTCATGGAAGACCAGAATCATTGAGCGGAAATCGAAAGCAGAAATCAAAGCGAGATTCACACCAAATAGGAACGAGCAAAGCACTGAAGTATCTTGGTAATGAAAGCCGTTCCAACGCCTCCAATCACCAATACAACAACAATATAGCCCTCCTACAGGCGGCTGTACCCCTGACTCCTACAAGTCCTATCAGACTAGCCTACTTACATCACCAACTGGTCCACTTGTCATCATCCCAATGCCACTTAAGACTCTGATCTGGCCTGCCTCCGTCAACACCAGGTACATGCCTCGTCACACTGCCTCTCTTCCTTCTCCCACTCCCTGTTCCACCAAGACCTCAGCTACTCCACCGCCAGCTATGGAGCGAGCAGCAGCTATGGCTACCACTCTCCCTCTTTCACCTCCTCGGGCTCATGCGCTAAGCAGCCGCTCGCGCAGCACTGCTGCATGCCTGAATGCCGAATGTTTGATGCCAGGTGCCCTCCAGTTTTTTGTGCTGGCTGGAGAGGCTGAGGAGGCTGCGCCCAGGCTGCACCCTGTCCCAGTTTCGTGCGCCCTAGGCCCTTCCAGAATGTGCACAAGGCCCAGCTTCTTCAACTAGCCTGTGGGCTGGGCCTACCTGTTAGTTGCAGATGCTGCATGCGGGCAGCAACTACCTGGGGCCCCAATTCTGCTCACATTGGCCTGAACTCAGGCCAGGCTGCATTTTTGCAGGCCTGCCTTCACTCAGGGCGGGCAGGGCCTTTTCCTGGCTGACCGAGGTGCTGAATCCTCGCACCATCCTCTTTTTTTTAAATAATATGTTTTTTGAACTTTTTCCCCGATCATCTCCAGCAGAAGGGGAAGAAAGGAATTTTTTAATTATCCTAGACTAGACAAAACATACGCCTCATGCAATCAGTATATTTACGAAACACTATATTACAAGCAATCCAAAACAGAAAAAACAAATCCATCCATGCCATCGGCCGTACCTTCCCATCAACATCCGAACCCATCATCTTCTTGATGCCATTCAATGAAGCTGCTATTGCCTGTATTATTGCTGTTTTCATTATAATTATTATAAACCGAACTTGCACAGAAGCCCGTCTGCTTCCTTGAAGCGCACTTGCGCACCCCAGTGAACAAAAAGAAAGAAACAGGAAACCAACCAGGCAAGGGCAGGGAGAAGCCCTTCTTACGTGGTTGGCTGGTTTTCTCTCCTTTTTCCTTCTCAGTGGGGCTGCAGGATAAAAGTGCACGGGTAGCAGCCAGCCTCCTCACACAAAGGAAACCAACCAACCACCAGAATGAGAATGTGTGTGGAGACGTGGTGGATTGCAAGATGTGAGTGTGTGAGCGGAGGTGGTTAATTCCAGGACGATAACGAGGAGCAGCCAAGCAAGCAGCTCCCCAAACAGGAAACCAACCAACTAGCAGGATGAAATGTGTGGTTAATTCCAGGACGATAATGAGGAGCAGGCGAGCAACCAGCCCCCCAAACAGGAAAACGACCAGCTAGCAGAATGAAATGCGCGGGGACCAAGTAAGACTTAGGGGCTAGACAGCAGCCTTCACGGCAAACATGGCATCAATGATGCGAATGATCGCACGGGGTAAGCACACACAAACCCGAACACCAATACCAACAGAGAAGAAGCAGCTTCGATGAAACAACAACACTAATAAGGCTCCCACATGTACAAATAATACTACTAATAATAAGACTCCCATACCTACACAATAATAAACCTCCCATACAGACATAACACTGTAAAAAACTCCCATACACCTAACACCTCTTTGTTGGGCGTTTCACTTTGACGTTCCTGGCCGCCATTTCGGAAGTTTTTCTATCCGAAATCGTCAGGGCTTACCGTCTTCCCGCCAGTGGGACCTGACGATTACGGCTAAAAAACGCTCGCTCGAAGTTAAATGCCCATAACAAAGAGGTAATGAATTTGCCTGCAATCCACGAATGATCATCATCTGGATCCCTGACACATCTGAAGTGCACTGCCGACAGTGAGTTGCTAACGGAGTGACTAACGGCAGCCAGGAGGTTAAGAGTGACGGGAGCCCGGCCAGCTTCGCCGCCAACCCCGACCACAGTTAAAGAGTTGCTAACGGAGCGACTAACGGCAGCCAGGAGGTTAAGAGTGACGAAAGCCGGGGTTTATGAGCGACTAACTGGGGTCGGGGTTGGCGGCGAAGCTGGCCGAGCCGAGAGATTCCAGACGGGAAGAGAGACGACGGAAGAGGCATCCGGGAGGGAGGAGAGAAGACCGAACCTTTTTGCATCCAAGCACGACACACAAGGAAGACAGACGGCTGGACCGAGAAGGGAGTACAAGGCGGAGCGCCGGGCGTTGCCAGGGAGTGAGGGGAGGGCGATGGTGAAGACGAGTGTAACGGGGTGTTCTTCTACACACGCTCTTTTCGAGAACTTCATCAAGTTTGCTTTTCCCAAAAAAAAAAAGGCACCATGTGATGCGTTGCGTTGCGTTACGTTGGTAACCAAAACCGTAGGCCATTACCATGGTTAAGCCTACCTGACCGCTTAGACAGCTTTATACGAATTCCAGATATTAAGTTATTAACCATGACAAGGTTTTGCAACAACGGATCAATTTCAAAACAGACGCAATGAAAAAAAAAAGGTGACCTTTACTAGGGAAAACAAGGGAGAAGTTGCCGGAGGGAAGAGAGGGACAGGGAGAAGGTGGAGGCGGCTACCCACCGCCTTCGCCTTGTTCCGAGAAGCTACAGCAGAACATATCCCAACTTCTGGCGACAGGAATCGTCGCTGTCAAATCGTCGCTGTCGAAACTTCCCCCAAAATGTCCGCGTATCCCGGCTTAGCTCTTGCATGAAGTCGACTCTTAAGTCCAGGTACTTACTGTATGTTCCGACAGGGGCAATCGAGGGGATTTCCGGGCGGGATAAGTGGCAGTACTGATGTTTTTCGTTTTTCCCGCTTTTTTTAACACTCCCATCCCCCTTGCGAAAGCAGTTAAGGAAAAGGGAAAGGGGATTGGAGAAATGGAGGAACAGAACGACAGAAGGGGGGGAGAATGGGAAGGAAGGCGACGGCAAAGGGGACGTAAACACCGAGGAGGGATACACACTACAAGGAAGGGGGGTGGGAAGATGGCATGAAAGGCAAGAGAGGAGAGGGGAGCATGTGAAGGGCAGAAGGGAGACAGACGAGAAGCAGAACACGAGGGGGGGAGGAGAGGAGAGGAATGGGGAAGAAACGTGAAAAGAGGAAGGGGGGAGAATCGACAAGGAAAGGAGAAGAGGAGGGGGGGAGAGGAAGGCAGTAGAGAAGAGTAGGGCAAGAGAAGACAGGAGAAAAGGGGAGGGGAAAAGGAAGAGGAGACGACGGAGAGAGAGAGGAAGAGATGAGGGGAGAGAAGACAAGAAACGAAACAGGGAAACCGGAGCGGAGAAGGGGGCGGAGACGGAGGGATATGGGCAGACAGAAGAACGAGTCGTACAAGATGCGGACATTTACTTCACTCTCCTCCATTTCATTGTCACTAACCTTCTGGTATGCCGATCCTCGTCTTCTCGCACCCTGACAGTTGATGGCATCGCTCTCACAACCGTTGATTCCGGTGGTGCGGCATCAAGATCGCGTGGTTTCACCCTGACATCTGACGGCATCGGTCTTACCACCGTTGATTCCGGTGGCGCAGCATCAAGATCGCGCGGTCTTATGTACGTAAAACGACCTTCCCATTTCCCCAATCGACCAGCCACTACTCCGGCTGCCCATCCTCCCCCTGATCCTTCCCCTCCTCCTCCTCCCCCCCATCCCCCTCCAGCCCCTCCCCCATTCACTCCCTCAACTGATCCCCGAGCCCTGCCGACGCCAAGACCCCCGTGATTAATAGCCGCGCCCCCCCCGTCCGCCTCCCTTGCGATGTCTTGCTCCGCCATCACAGGCTTGGACCCCACCCATGCTCCTCTCCCCGCGCTTCTCGTCCCCCCCCCCCTCTCACCCCCTACTCCTCGCCCTCCTCTGGCACCGACTCTAGAAATTGCCGCCGCTTCTCTCCTCGCCAGTTCCGCAGCACCACCTCTGCTAACGTCGTCACTCTTTCGATTCAACGAAGCACCTCCTCCTGAGCTCGTCCTTGTGGAATCAATGCTCTCGCCCTGCCAGTCCCTTACCCCCAGTCCGTTTCCTGCTAATCTTCGATCTCCTCCTCCTCCTCCTCCTCCTCCTCCTCCTCCTCCGCCTCCTCCTCCAGTCAATCGGTCACTCCCTCTCCCAGCGCCGCCCCCTCCCACCCCCTCCCTTCCAAATGCCTTGTTTATTCTCTGTATCGCTTGAGAAGTTACAGCTCCTCGCAGACCCGTGGCCGGCGATCTTGACCGAGCAGTCGTCGGCGACGGCGACCGAAACCCAGAAGGCGGCGACCTCGACCGGTCACTGTTCGAGTCCCGCCAACCCCCTCCTGCGCTCCCACTCGTGCTCGTATCAGCAACCGTAGACCCTACGCGGCTTCCAAACACGATCGACGGTCCAGGGCGTCCACCTACACTCGTCCCAGGACCGACTCCGGCGCCAAACCCCGACACGGCCTTAGCCATCTTCCTCTGGTCCCACCGATGAGTATATACATATACAAGTAAAAGCCACTGCGGCTGCACCTGCACAATTCCAAGTAATTAATTATCACAGCGACCATCTATAATGGTCCAGAACTTTTCAAGCTCCAGTCGACCGACAGGAAACAGAAGTAAAATCAATTCTGGCACAACCATCAGAGGAGTGATGCCCACAAAAATGGTGAAAAGGAAAAGGAAACCCAAAACAGAACCAGCAGTACAGAAAACAGAATTGAGTGTGGCTACGCCCGCACTTTCAAAATCTATACCATATCATAATATCTCTGAAGTAAACAGTA